TCTTCATAAGTCTGAAGATCACCACTCTTGTTATCAATACCGTTTTGGGTTTTTTTAGGTATGGAAAACCAACATTTAAAACAGTTAACTTGTGCTTCTGGTGGTTCTCATGACTTTACTTCTTGATCCTTCACTCAAGGTGTGGTCCCTGCACCATCCATATCAGCGTCACTTGGGGGTGGGTTACAGAAAAGCAGATCCTCCCTGTTGAGAATTATTGGGTCAGTGGCTCTAGCAGTAGAAGCCAGGAAGCTCCTATTTATCAGCTTCTCCAAGGGATTCAGATATCCACAGAAAATTCATTGTCTTGGATACTAAGAGGTCCAGAAAGGGAGGTAAGGGAACATCAGTAGACAGGATCAAGCTGCCAGTGGGGACCCTGAGCTGAAGGGCTGACACAGTTTCCGAACTCAGAAAGACCTGGGTTTGAATCACACCTATGAGTTGTGTGGCCTTATTGTGCCACCGCAGAGTCTGCATACCTGCTCCCTACCTGTCCCATTTCCTTCAAATCTACATCAATGTAACTTTCCGAGATAAACTTTCCGGGACTCCCCTTTTACAAAGCGGCTTGCCTCTTCCCAGTTCCGCATTTATTTTTCTCACCAGCATTCACTATCATCTACTGTCCTGTCAAGGAGCCCTGGGGGGCCAGTGGTTGAGCAGTTGGCCACAATCCAAAAGTCAGTGGTCGAAACCCACCAGTCGTCCCTCCTTGGGAACAAGTGGTTGTCATCTGCTTCAGGAAAGATTGACAGTCTGGCCAACCCTATGGGGTAGTTCTCGTCTGTATTACAGGGTGACTCTGAGTCAGAATCCTCTGGATGGTGGCAATAAGTTTGGTTTGCCCTGGTTTAGTCCACTGTCAAGAAACCCTGGTGCAGGGGAGAGGGGTGGGAGACGGTTGAAGGCTGAAGGGAACTGGGGAGCAAATGGTGAATATGGGAGAAGGAACTGAGTGTAGTCATGTATATAAAACCCTATTTAAACCCTATATTAAAACCCTATTTGAACTATAGAAGTGTATGACATGGGACGTTTATGACAATAGCGCTATTGGGAAACGGGGAGAGGAGATACCTTGATGCATAAGCCTTCGTGTGCTAGAAAGGAAAGCTCCAGGCTCCTACCCACTCAGTGATTCCACACGGACAAGACCTGGCGACCTGCTGCTCTGTAAAGATTAGAATCACCAAAATCCTTTGGGGTCAGTTCTACTTTGTCACAGGGGGCTGCAGTGAGCCAGAATCGCCTTGATGGCACCCACCGACTCTTATTTCACTATTCTAGCGTCTGTCTCCCCCACTACGGTGCTCCAGAAAAGCGTTGTCCGATTTGTTTATTGATACCGCCTGTGCGCCTAAAACCGAGCACGCCACACAAGGGGCATTCAAAAATGATTTGTTCTATAAAGCAACCGACCGGTATTAATGGATCTAAGAATGTGTACCTGGCAGGGTAGATCCGACTGGACAGCAACGGTTTTTGTTTTTTTTTTTAAATTTTCCTAACTAGCTAGCTAGCTGCTAGGGCTGTTAGGATTCTTGAATGAGAAAATACATATAAAGAGCTTAAAACACACTGACAGGTAGGCACCTACTGAATGACTATTTCTTCCGGTGCTTCTTAGTCCATTGGGCACCCGGGAGCGGGGCGGGGAGGGTTCTCGAACTCTTTGGGTGCAGATTCTTACTCTTGGGCTTCCCTGGATCCCCGGGGAGTTTCCGGCGCCTCCACAAGTCGTCAGACAAGTCTAACAGGTGACGAGGAGGGAGCCGATCAGCAGGTGCACCTGAGCCTCCACGTCGACCAAGCACTCTCTTCCTTCACCTTACCCCCCGGCCGGCGGCTCTGGAAGGACACCAACTGCAGCACCCCAGCATCTCCACAGCAAGAGGGTGGGCAAGGGGACCGAGCGCCGCAGCGACCAGCGGCGGCTTCGCGCACCGCGCAGGCGCGCACGATCCCAGCGCCTGCCCCCGCGACTATCGCGATAGAGCGCGAGCCTGCTGCGGGCCCTTTAAGAGTCCTTTCCCGGGGGCCGAGCCCGCGCGTGCGCACTGCGCTTCTGCGCTTGTCATCATGGCGACGCGGGGCCATGTGCAGGACCCGAACGACAGGCGCCTCCGACCCATTTACGGTGAGTGCCTGCGGCCGGCCGGGCCTCCAGCCCG